GGAGAGGAGAGGACAGGGATCGTGAGCCTTGCTTCGACGCCGAAAGAGAACCCGATGCCGACGCCGCCACCAAGGTCGAGGACCGGGGACACGCACCTGATCCGGGCATCGGGAAAGGCGAGGGCCGACGCGACGACGACGGCATACACGGCGCCACTGGCGCCGAGGCTGCTCTGCCTGCCGACCGTGGCGCGGGCAACGTCGAGACCCCTCAACGCCGCGACGTGGCGGAAGCGCACGCCCGCAGCAATGTGGCTGGCGGCGGCGGCGAACACGCCGGCGGTGGCGAAAAAGGCGAGAAAGTGGGGCGTGGCCGACGCCTCGGGCAGGATGGCGCAGCCGGCATTGACGTGGCTGGCGTAGATGATGGCGCTGCCGCCAAACGACCAGAGGGCGACGTTGTTGAAGAGGAAGTGCAGCCCGCCGCGGTGGCTGAAAGTCGAGGTGAGCATGGTGAAGTCGAGCTCGCTCGAGGGGCGGTGGGTAAAGTGGCGAAGCATGAAGCCCTCGAGCCGGCTGCGGACGGGGGCGAGCAGCCAGAGGCCAAAGACGAGCGTGTTGAAGGCGATGATGGGCACGAGCACCTCTTTGGCGGGCGGGAGGTCGAGGTAGCTATCGGTGGGACGAGCGGGCAGGGTGTGCAAGCGAGCATACAGGGCGGGAGAAGGGAGGGAGGGTGCCTGTCAGTGGGCATGGGCCGTGCCGTCTGGCCGTATGCTGGGAGCGGAGCTGGGTGGGTGGGCTCACGCTTCCGAGACCATGACAAACGACCTGCCAACGACCTCCTTGACACCGGCGGGCAGGCCGAGCTGGTCGCACCAGCCCGTGATCCACTCGAGGGTGTGGCCGAGCCGCTCTGCGACGTGGTGCTTGCGGACGACGTTGAGCGTGTTTTCGTCGATGCCACGGCCCCACGCCTCCTGCTCCTGGACGCGGGTGCCGCCACCGCCGCCACCAAAGAGGTTCCTGCCGGCGCTGGTGGCGCTGGTGACAAACGACTTCCAGCTGGAGAGGGGTCCCTGTGTGTCGCGCGCCTCTTTTGCTATGTCGGCCGTCTGGCGGATGGATAGGATGGCGAAGACGCTGAAAGTGCCGGCGCCGAAGAGGAGTACGTAGAGTATCGTGGCCAAGATATGAGGCGGTTCGATGTTCTGGCGGGACCAGTATTGGTCCTCGTGCTTGAGCTGCTCTGCGGCCTGCTTTTGGAGCAGTTGGTCGAGCTGACGGCTGCCGGGTGAGGTGGGGTCAAGGTGACGGGAGGAGGCAGCGGCGGTGGCATCATCGGTGGTGGGGCGTGCGGGCGCTGGCCTGGGGTAGAAGGGGTTGCGACGACGAAAGATGCGGGAGAGGAGCGAGCTGGTATGGAGGGAGCGCGATGCGAGTGCGGCGAGGGGCGATGGGCGTGTCTGTAGGGATGGGCGGTGTATGCTTGCGAGGCCTCGGAATGGCGGTGGTGGTGCTGGCAGAGCTGGTGATGGTGGCGAAGGTGGCGGGGGTGATCTTGTGCGGCATGTGAGGGCGGCGGGGGCAGGCGATGAGAGGAGGAAGGTGCGGATCGATGGGGCGGCGACGGCGGGCGGAAGGGCCGATGGTGGGGCCAAGAGGGGCCGCCCGGCGAAGGCGCAGCGCAGCATAGCAGGCAAAGAGAGGGCCGTAGCGATAGGGAGGGGGGAAGGGGAGCCCGCGGCAAGGTCCGAGTGGTGGCGCAGCCAGAGTTATAAGCGATTGACGAGGCGCTGCGAGGCTGCCCGCCGTCGTGGATCCATGGGGAGCGGAGGGGGGGTTGGGTCGTGGAAGAAAGGGAACAGGCGACAGGCGACAAGCAAGTTAAGGGAACAAGCGACGACAAAGTGACGAGGGTCGTGGCAGGTCGCCCACAGCCAGCCAAGCAAGCCAGCTCAGAGGGGGAAAAAGCCAGGCCCCAAAGCGTGTGGAGGCTGGCTTGGCTGGTGGGTTGGGCCGCCTCGCTGCAGCGCCCCGCTCCCTTTGTTGGCGCACCCCCACTCGGCCTGGACGCCCCTCGCTCGCCTCGACGCCACCGGGCCTCGCTCTCGGCGCACAGGGTATCCATCCAGTCGCTCTGTTCCTATTCGTACAGGCAAGCGACAGCGCCACCAGCATCGACATGTCAAGTCGAGTCGACCCAATGCAACGCACCGCCCACCGCCTACCGCCCGTACCGGTGCTGCGTCTTGGCAAAGTGGCGCAGCCCTGCCTCGAACCCAGCCCGCGTCGGCCTCGTCGCTCCATCGTAGCTGCACCGTGGTTGGCCACAGCCAAAGGGGGAAAAACGAGGAGCAAGGCGCCAGCGACGGGTGTCAGTGTCAGGATACCGCAGTTCAGGCCGACCTCAGCAGCGGCCTCGACGCCGCACGCCCCTACGTCGACTCACTACAGCTCCGTCAGTCGGATCGGCCAAGGCGGGAAGCCGTAAAGCTTGCGCATCCGCGGCGGCGCGCCCTGCACAATCAGAAAGTCGGGCTCCGAGATCGTCCCTTGCCCTGTCGTCATCGTCGGTCGTGTCGGCGGGTTGCACGGGACTGTTAGCGCATACGGTCCTCGCGGCATCTTGGCGTGGCGTGGCGACGCCCACCGACTCACGCAGCAGGTACTCGTCCAGATCGCCCGGCGTCAGCGTCGCCACCATCCTCTTGCGCAGCGCCCTCGCACCCTCCTCGTCCCCCGTCCCATCGGCAGCGGCCACCTCGCGCAGCTTGTGCAGATACTCTCGGCCCACCTGCCGCGCCCACTCGGTGGCGCTCCTGGCCATCTCGAGCTTGCCGTCGTCGTGCGACAGCAGCACCACGTCGATGCTCGCGCCGCCCGTCGGTGCCGCATGCGCCTCGCGGTGCCGCTGCATCCGCCCGACGCCCGTCGTGACCAGGCGCACCGTGAGACCGGCAGCGCCTTTGGCATCGCCGCCTTTGGCCGCTTCATCGGGCACGTCGCCCATGACCGACGTGTTGGACGATGCCAGCGTCTCGTCTTCCGACTTGGACGTGCCCGCCGTGCTCGTCTCGCCGTCGTCGGACGCGCCGCTCGACGACGACGAAGCCTGCCGCCGCCGTCGCCGTCCGGGAGTACTCGTTGACGGCGCTGCTTGATCGATCCCTGGCGCCGCACTGCACTGGTCGCCCTCTAGCCTGCAGCCAGACTGGCGCAAGAGGTTCTCGGCAGCAACCAGGGTCTCGGTCGACAAGGGCGTGGGCGAGTAGACGGTGAGCGTCGGGATGCCCGCCTCGGACGACAGGCGTATGAGCTGCACCAGATCCGCAGCCGTCGTGTGCGCGGTGGATGGTGCAGAGGCTTGCCGCCCTTTTTCGAGATGCTGCCCGGTCGCTCGGTCGGGGAGGAAGATGCGGGCGAGCGGGTCGACGAGGTAGGCGGTGTAGATGGCGGGCCACGTTGCTGGCTCGGGCGGGGCCAAGATGACGGCGAGGTGGCGCGGCAGCTTTCCAGGGAATGCCGCCCCTGCTGCTACTGCTGCTCGCGCGCTTGATGACTGGTGTGCGGCGCTGCTCCGTGCGGTGAGGCTCTGGGCGGCATTGATGAGCTGCGAGGCGGCCAGGACGAGGTGGTAGACGAGGTGGATCAGGCCAAAGGCGAGGGCCTGGAGAGGGAGCAGAGGCGAGATGGGCCCTGCGGTGGCGGGAGCACGGTATCTCTTGTGCATGGCGTCGATGCTGGCGGGTCTTGCTGCCGGTGTCGCCGTGGTCGGGGTCGGGGTCGCCGTCGCCGTCGTTGATGGGCTAGCAGCCTGGTGCAGTGGGCGTGATGACGAGGGCACGGGATGGACCGCTCGCAGTGTTTCCTGGCTCGTCATGCTGGCATGCCCTCGCCGTGTTTCGTGGAGCGGCGCTGGTAGTGTGCGGGGGTCGTCGAGGTGGGGCAGGCAGGAAGGGCGAGGGAACGGTCTGGCTCAAGCGTACGAACCAAGGGTCGCTCGCCTTGGCCTGCCCGGCTTGGCCTGGAAACCTTCGCGCCCAGGCACGCACGCAGGCAGGCAGGCACGCGTGGAAGCGACAGACAACAAGGCCATCGGGGGCTGGCCAGCCAAGACGATGCTGTGAATGCAACTCAGTCCCGATTCGATCTGATCCCACTGGCGCTGGCTTGCGTGGCACCGGTGTTCCTCCACTTGGCAGGCCAAAAGGGGGGGCGGTCCAAGCGCCCCAACCCCCCGCCACCTCTTTCTCTCTTTGCCAGCGATCCTCGACTCGGTCCTCGCCTCCCCTTTCGCCTCCGCCACCATCATCGTCGCCATGTCACAACAGCCTGCTCCCGCCTCATCCGACCTCGCGCAGCCACCGCCAACGGCCTCTGCGTCGTCGTCGGCGGTGCCCTGGTCCGAGGTGCGCTACTTTCACCCTCCCAGCGGCACTACGAGCTGTGAGTGAACCACGCCCCTCCTCGCCTCCCCACCAGCACCCTTCCTGCATCGACTAACCCTGTGCCTTCTCCTCCTTCTTCCGCGCTCTGAACCCTAACCCCTCCAACGCCAGCCATACCGCCGCCGCCGAGCACCGACCCGGAACCGACGGCCTCGGAGCTCAAATCCACCTTCCTCTCGTCGTCGCGGCCGCCTACGGGACCAGATGCGCCGCTGCTCACCGCGGCCGCCCGCGCACGCCTGTACCCGCCCAAGCCGCGCAAGACGTACACGTCGATCCGGCTGCGACTCCGCTTCCCGGACCGCTCCATGCTCGAGGCGCTCCTCCCCGTCTCGGCCACCATCGCCGACGTCTTTGCCTTGCTCCAACATCACCTCGATCCGGCGGTGGCCGCGGCCGCCGGCTCGCAGGCGGTGCTGTGGCAGACGATGCCCCGAACCGAGTGGAGGGATACCGAGCGGGATCGGAGCGTCCGGCTCGACTCGCTGGGCTGGGCGCCCAATGCCCTCGTCAACGTCAAGTGGACCGACGACGCCACCATGAACCGCTCCAGCTGGCTCAAGGACGAGCTCAGAAACGCCGCTGCGCCCGTGCCGGTGCCGAGCTGGGACGAGGCCGCATCCGCACCAGCATCGCAGCAACAGCCGCACCAGCGCGACGACACCAAAAAGGACGACGGGAAAAAGGTGAGGATGCGGAGCCAAGGCGACCAGCGTGCATTCAGCGTGTGGTAGAGTGCCCAACTGACCCGTCCCATGTCACCCCGACTCTGGCCCGCCCCACGTTCACCCACGTGCTGCAGCCGATGCCAAAGTGGCTCAAGGGCATCGTCAGTGAGTCCCAGCCGTCGTCGTGCCACAGTCAAAGCCAGGACGCACCTATCACCGCATCGGGGGCCAACCTACTGACCGCTCACCGGCCGCCGTCCCGCTGCACCTACGCCCGCCGCCGCAGAAAAGTGATGTCGACGCGACGTGCAAGAGCGGGGAATGCAGTCGAGCTGGCACAGCCAGAGAGGGGCATGGTCGATGTCAGCACGTCGATGCGTCTACCCTGGCAATGCCATGCGCACTTGCGGTTCTTTCCGTTCCGTTCCGATCCGTTTCGGCCTGGAGAGCGAGAGAGGGGGGGGATGGGATAAAAGTACAGTGGGGGCAAAGGAGCAGGTAACGGAGCAGTCGGTAGAGAAGAGCAGGGGGTGCGGGGGGTTCGGCGATGGGATCTACCAAGATCTCTTGCTCCATTCGTGTCCCCTCACCACCATGGTACGGTGCACGTCGGCGGGTACCTCGCTGTCGATCCAAGGGGGCGTGCAGCCAGGGTGGTAGGGTGAAGGAGGTCAGCATCCTCTCTTCCGCTTGGCCGTGAAACACGACGAGGTGGGGGGGAACACGGAGACGGAGGAAACGGGGGGACTCACAAGCTTTCACCGACCAGCTCCTTTACGGCGACGCAGAGGCGGTCGATACGCACCACGAGGCCGAAGAGCGTAACGACGCCAACCGCAAACGACATGTACTCGTGTTCCCGCAGCGTCTTGAGCGAAATCTTGCGCGGAAGGGTGCCCAACAACCCCTCCTCCTCCGCCTTCCCCTCGCCCCCGGCCGCGTCATCTTGCTCCTCCCCGCCGCCGCGGTGATAACGCACATCGAATCCATGTTCGAATAGCAGGAACCGATCCAGTAGCGGACACGGTGTGATCTGCGGCAGGGGCGAGGAAGTCTTGAGCGCCGTCGAACACATGGATATCACCGAGATGACGTCGCCCAGGAAGAGCGGGTCCAGGAATCGCGTACGCCGTAGCAGCGCCAGCGAGTAGGCCGGTCCCAGCTGCGAAATCACCGTGAGCGTGTGGCTGAGCAGCTTCAGTAGCTCCCTGGTGGGTGCGTGCGACGGATTCGAGACACGGTCAGTCGGCGTCCATGCAACAGAGGCAGGCCACAGAGATAGAGCACAACGTCGCCCCGCTCCCGACTCACATCTGCACCTTGAACAGCTCGGCGTACCGCTGCTTTGGCCACCGTCCTCGCAGCGAATACTCGTACTGTGCCGTCGTCGTCGTCGTCGTCGTCGTCGTCGTCGTCGTCGTTGGTGGCAGCATATCGTCATCGATCGATTCGGGTCAGCTCCGAGCTCCAGCGGCTGCACGGCCCAACAACCGCAACCGCGACCACCACCGGCACGGCCACCGGCGCCACTCACCGAGACATTGACGGCGGCCATGTCGAGCCTGCGCAGCTTGGCGCGCAGCGCAATCAGACGCTTGTTGATGCGTTCGGCCTCGTGCGCTTCCGCCTCGCCGCGGTGGT